AGAGATGGAGGGAGGGAAAGAGAGGGGAGGGAAGGGGGTGAAATCAGAATTAGGGTGTGTTACATACACTTCCGAACTCCACACAGGGACTGGAGTATGTTAACATAACGGACTGTAAACACGTAAACATAATGTATTACAAACTGGACTAAAAAAAATGTAACTTTGCTAAAAAAGGGAATAAAGAACTACAACATTTTATGGAAAGTCATATAAAAAAGGTGAAATAAGTGTCAAGTAACAAAAATTGTAAAGAAATGCATTTGTTTACAGAAAGATTGAAAAAAAAAACAGGAAGAAAAAAATGCTAGTGCCCAGTAGACAGCAAGAATAAATATTACCGTCAATCCTAATAAAGCTGTTCTTGAGTTCAGCGGGTATTTTCTGGGTATTTTATTTAGTTGAGGGGAAAACTGTAATGTAATCAGCCTAAATTGGCTTTTCCGTGACTTTCAGCATTTGCTCCTGCTTTAATGATGATTCCTCCGACACACACACACACACACAAACGCACACACAACTTTCTAACTCTGCCTCTCTGTTATAATTTTGTCCCAAGGGTGTGATTATTATGTGTCAGTTTGGTAGCGCTTAGATCTAGGTCAGCTGCAAGATTGGAAGCAGATATCTGCAGGACTGCCCTCCTTATCAAACGCTGCCCAAGAGGGCCCTCCAGTGTGAATAAGTGATAAGGGTGGTCAGGTGCTTTTCTTCTGAGCCCTCTGCTGCTGCCTATACTCCCTTTCCTCCTGCTGGCTCCTCACAGAAGCTGGGGACCCGCATTCTGAGCCCCCAGCCCTGGCGACCCCTTGTGACCTCACCGTGTCACTGTAGGCGACATCACAAAGAGAATAGCTCCCCTGAGTACCACACCTCCACCATGCGGTGAAAACTAAGGCCGCAGCCTGGGGGTGTGGAGTATGAGTTTGTCCCTCTGCACGCCTGCACGCAGGAAGGAGCCCAAGTGCCGCACTGCAGGACACGATGGCCAGGCAAGGCATGAGAGCCAAGGCCACGAAAGAGGGAAGTAGACTGGGCGAGGATTTATTTGTTTGCTCTGAGTCCTGGGCCAAGTCGGGAACCAAACTGATCCTGATGAAATGTACGATGTTGCTAAATATTTTGTGGTGTTGATTTGAGGAGAGTCAGGAGCTGGTAAATGGGGAGAGATCTTTATAGACGTGTAGGGTGGGTGGGGGAGCGTTTCACGGTCCAGGTTACTTTTTGCCTTTGGAGGTTGATGTGACGTGTCCTAGCTCTGTGCTGAGACGTGATTTCTTTTTCTCCCACTTATGTAAGCTTCGGTTTCAAAGTCCAGTCCTCCCGCCTTTGACCCACTGTCCAGGTCTCTTCTCTTTGAGGAGGACAGCTTAGAAGCCACCTGCCAAACCCACGGGACTGGATGTCACAGGCTTTGAACTTTGTTTCTCTTTAGTGGTCCAAACCTTTACCTTTGGTTTTGTTTGGGATTTTTTGTTTTGTGTTTCGGCTCTTGACGAAATGATGAAATTAATGTATGTAGCTTTCTAGAAACTTAACTACACGAGTGGGCTGAAGGCATAGCCAGGACACCTGCCTACCGGGGGCCAGTCCTGGGTTCCAGCCCCCCCACTGCCAAAACAAGCAAAAACAGGAGAGCTACCTCACCGGTCACAGGAACACTGATTCTTAGAAGTAACTACTCTTGATAGTTGTAAACCGAATGTTTATGTTTTTAGATATTGCTAAAGATAAATAAAACATTACAGAGTTGAAGATTCTTGAACACCTTTTTAAAATACGATCTCAGTCCATTCCCTCTTTTCCCAGAGGTAAATGTCAGCTTAATTTTCAGGTGTGTTTTAATATTCTTAATACGAAAGTGCTAAAATATGATTTCACGGGTTTTAAACTTTATACACAATCAAAGGGAAAGCAAAATGAGTAGCCTTTATTCCAGCAGTAAGTAGGCAGGCAGGAGGCCTTTGTGAATCTGACCTCAGGTAGATCAGTAGTGGACCTTTGACAGCAGAGCTCCCTAAGGGTACAGACCTTTGAACCATAGCTGACCCCGGCTGACATTCACACTGAGCCTGAGACCACGCCCACGCCCTCTGAGGCCACTCCCACGCCCTGAGACCACGCCCATGCCCTCAAAGGACTGATCATTAATTCCTAACAAGCAACATGAGTGTTAAAACCACTGTCTTGTAAGACCTCAGAGCTTGTTTTCTAATGTTGGTTTTCTAATCTTTCTATAGAAATTCTGTTCTGACATTTTATGAATACATAATGAAGTTTCTCCCTCTCTTTATATATCATTATCTATGTACTATATGTCTGTTCCTTTTGTCTGTCTATGCTATTTTCTGGGAAAAGTATTTAATATTACTGCCCAGGTGACCAGTGTTTATTTAAATTATTCTGTCTAGCTTAGAGTTCATTCTATTAAGATGTTTTTGTGTTGCTTCCAATGTCCTTTTTTTTTTCTAAGATAAATTTTTCATTGTTGTTCCCAACCTCTTCTTATGGCCCTTTAATAAATTCTTGTACTTTGACATCTTTTGAAAGACTAATCATAAGTAATTTTGACCGTAGTTAAAATTATCATTAGATTGCTTATAAAATTAAGTGAACCAAAGTTTTAATGATTCATTATTCAGCTATCATTTTTGGTGGTGTGGGCGTGTGTGTGTGTGTGTGTGTGTGTGTGTGTGTGTGTGTGTACCTTTTTATGCAGTGCTAGGATTGAGTCAAAGGCTTCATGCATGCCAGATAAGTGCACTAACCCAGAACTACATCCCTAGCTCTTTCAATTTTTTTTCTAAAATTTTGAGACAGGGTCTTGCTATGTTGCCCCGTCAGGATGCTCCTGCCTCAGTCTCCAGAGTAGTGGGGATTTCAGGTGCCCATCGCTGTGCCTGCTGTCCTGGGGAATTTTAATATGCTAGCTCATGGTAACAGGACTTAAGCCTGCTTTTACCTTTCTCCTCCTGGGTTGCAGTTGTCTCTCGGGAGAGAGAGGGGCTTGTACCCGTTTAGCCTCCAGTCGCGTCTCTGACTGCCCATTTCCCAAGCACTCATAGCCCCGCTGCTCTTCAGGACTTGAGTGAGCCCCAGGTCTCTTTGCACTGCTGCTCTGGCTTTATGTCTACAAATCTATTTGCCAGCTGGGCATCTTTTTCTCTTTATTCCATTATTTTCTTTTTTCCTTTTTCTTCCCTAGTACCAGAGATCGAACCCACGATCTTGTGCTTGCCAGGCAGGCACTTTGCTGCTGAGCTATATCCCTGGCCTTCTTCCATTATTTTCTAACAACACAAACTTTGCATATGATTTTGGAGGCCAGGGGAACCTAAAATCATGAGCTATGTCATCTTGATTGAAAATAAAATGTTTACTTCCAAGAAATAACATCCTGCATTTCCCAAAGGCCTAGATATTCCTTAGGGTTGGCATCCTCCATGATTTTGAAACAAAATGATAGTACAGCTTAGTATTTTCTGCTTAGGCTTTTTATTTAAAAGTTGTGCTCATTTAAGAGCAAGTTTATGTTGTGGATGCGCTGAATGCCACATACCGTGTTGGCAGCAGGCATACAACAATGGGCAAAACTCAGTTCCTACACTTTAAGTAGCTTGCATTCTACTAGGGAAAGGTGGGTCATATGCAGACAGATAAGCACAAGATTATAGATAAGATCACATGAAAGCAGAGTTGGTATACGTGCTGCTGAAACAAGCACAAAAGGTGAAATTTGGAACAAAGAACTATGGAGGGTTCTGATTCTCAGGAAGATGAGGTGAGCATATTTTACTGTTTCTCCCACTGACTTCATGTAATAAATTTTGGACAGAATACCAATGGCCTTTAGCAGCAAAAGGCTCCTAAAAGCATTGGGGAGCCAGGCGTGGTGGTACATGCTGTAATCGTAGCAGTTGAGAGGCTGAAACAGGAGGATCATCAGGAGTTCTGGGCCAGCCTGGGCTACATAGTGAGTTCAAAGCCAGCCTGAAGTACATAGCAAGATCCTGTTTCAAACAAATAAGCAAACAAAATAAAACAAAACAAAATAACAAAAGCAATGGGGAGACAGTAAGTTTGCATTTTCCCCACGAAATCAGAAGCATCCTGAAACCCAGAAAAAAGCACTGGGTAGAGACAGAAGAAATCAAAAGAAGATCCTTTCTGTCATTCTGGTAGCATGTGGTCTCACTGACCACTAAGCTGCCTTTGTCATGTGTCATAAATTAGTAAGGAAAAGCTGGGTGTGGTAGCACACACCTGTAATCCCACATACTAAGAATTTGAGGCAGGAGCAACCTTTGAGGCCAATCTGGGAGATTTGACAAGACACTGTCTCAGAATTTTAAAAAAGATGCCCCAGGAATGGAGCTCAATGGTAAAGCACTTGGCTGTCCTAAGATCATGGGTTTGGTCCCTAATACCATAAAATAAGGCAAGAAAAATGCCTCACCTTATAACTATAAGCAGATAGTCTCAGAAGAAAAGAAAATGTAAAATATATTACCTATCAAAGATGTTTAAGCCCAGCTAGTGATTCACAAAGAAGCAACATGAGATCCTGATTTCTTTTTATCATGTGGTACTTAATGTGGTATTTCTTTTTAAAACGTTTCATAAACACATAATAGCTACACAGAGTTATGGGCTCCTATCTCTCATTGCATGCTCTTACTCACCTGATAGGAGATTCTGAAGATGGTGTTCAATTCTGAGTCTTCTGAGGCAGATTTGGAGTTTTCTCTGTTTCTTGGTTTGTGTGTACCTATGGTCACGGTGCTGACTTTTAAAATATATAGTTTTTAAAACTGGAAAGAAAAGGTTAGCATCTTGGATTCTTTCTTTTTTCTTGGTGATTTCCTGTGTCTTCTAAGTTTTGTGCCTTTGTAATGTATTGATTTTATAGGAAAACATTCCATAACTGTTTGGATAACACTTTCGAAGGCCCGTGTTTGCCTTTCGAGTGACACTTTTCCTCCTTTGGCACTGACCTGCAGGTGTTCCCTCTGGCACATGTGTGCAAGGACACAAATAAGATGACCTTCATTAACCCCCAAGGGGTCAAACTCAACCTCTACAAGCAGAAGGTGGAACAGGCCATCAAGTCCTATGAAAAGTGAGTATTTGTCTCCACTGCCTTTCGAGGGTATGGCTTTTGTTTGTTTTCCATTTTAGCTTAGATTTCTCTTCTCAGAAGCTGCAATGAGGAAGTTTTTCAACATCAATATCAACAGGAACAGCTGACACAGGGACTTTCTGTGCAGTCAGTTCTTTACCTGAATAGTTTCAAGAGAGTCTTAAAGAATCCATCTTCAGGGCCTGGAGTTTAACTCAGTGACCTAAATGCCTGCTTGGCAAGCATGAGGTCATAAGTTTGACCCCAGTCCAAAAAAAAATCCATGTTCTTTTCCCAGACTCTTCCAATCTAATGTTTCCATGAAATCTTTAAAATTTTCCCTCTCAGCACAGCAATTGATGAGGTAATAAAGCCGATACAGTGAGCTCTCCTTCCTCTGGGTTCTGTGAGTGCTCCTTCCTCCACAATCCAGCACAACTTAGTAATTTGCATCGTATTGGTGCCACCATCTTAAATAGTCTCAGCAATCCGGGGCGGGCTGTGCTGCTGAAGTTTTACATAAGGACTTGAGCATCTGCAGACTTTGGAACCGGGGAAGCAGGAGGGGCCATTCTCTCTGCAAATACCCAGGAACACATTATTTAAATTTCACATCAAGTTCATGATGGTAATCGAGTTGATCATAGTGAAAATGAGGTCCTGGAAGAGGCCCTGTGACCATGCAGAACAAAAGCCTTTCCTCTCAGAGCAGACAACTGACTAAGTCCTCTCCTTGCCACGGCCCTCATCACCTCCTCCCCAGGGTGGAATTAATCTTCAGCTCACAGTACGTAATTAAACTTTAAGTGAGGGCTGGGGATGTAGCTCAGCAGAACAGTGCCTGCCTGACAAGTGCGAGGCCCTGAGTTCATTTCCCAGTTCAAAAAAAAAAACAGAAAAATTCCCACGAGCCCTGCTTCTTCAAGCCAGCCCCTGACTGGTGGAGCTGTGCGCTCAGGTTTTATTTACTACTGTATGAGAGGGAAGATGAAATAATCAATGTGCTGTTTTAGTTACTTTTCTTGTTGCTGAGACAAAATACCTGACACCCAAAGTTAAATGGGGAAAGGTTTATTTAGCGATGGTTTCAGTTTGTCATTGGCTGGCTCCAGGGCAGGGTGTCCTGGCAGAGGGACACTGCAAAGTAGAACCAGTGCATGGCAAGCAGAAGACAGCAAAAGCAAGCAAGTGAGGGGCTTTAACAGCATCTTTCTGCCCCTTTGATCTTATCCAGGCTACTCAGGGCAGGGAGCACTGGCACCCTTAATCGCAGGGCCCGCAAGCCTAGCACTGCACCATGAATCGGCTCCAGCCTCACACACTCCAGATCCAGCTGCCTCTGAAAAAGCCCTTTCTGTGACTGTGAAGCTTTTGGGGGATATCCAGACACAAGTCATAACGTGTCCAGGCCAGCATTTGTATGTCTGTTCTCATCTTGCAGTGGCTTTAGTGTGCATTCAAAACAAGCTTGAGGCGTGGCTCCTGCTTCAGAAATGACCACGAGTCCCGGGAAGGTCTTCCCACCCAGCCTGGGAAAGGCCTCTCCAAACTCCCACTTGAGGCTCTTCCTCTGGCCCTTAGGAATCGAGGCTGTCTTATGTTGCTGCAGGTCAAAAAATCCCTTCTCCAGAATGCTTGGAACAGAAGTGTTTTACTTTCGATTTTGTAACATTTGCATGCACATAAAATGAGATAGCTTGGGGATGGGATATCTAACATAAAATTCATTTATGTTTTATACGCGTCTTTTACACATAACCTGGAGTAACTTTTTTGCAATGTTTTAAATCACTTAGTGCATGAGAAAACTTTTCATGGTGTGAAATTTCTTCATTGACACTCGAAAAGTGTGATTTTGGAGCATTTTGGATTTGGGATTTTTGGCCGAGGAGGGCTCTGCCTATATTTCTCAGGGTCTTCTTCACCTGCCCTCCATCTTTCTATCACAGGCAGGACAAGCTGTTCCTAGGCTCAACCCTCTCTGTGGGTCTGGTGCTTCCAGGCAGGCATTCCCTTAAGGAAACAGACTTCTTTGTAAGGCCACTGTGGAGTTCGTCTCCTGCTTCCCTTGTCTGTCACCCTCAGAACCCTCATGGTTACTGCATAGTCCTGTGTGCCTTGGTGACCATTCCTGGCCCTCTGGGTGCCAACTCCAAGACCCAGCTTGGCCAACCCCATTTCCTCCTTCATTTATTCCTCCCAGGCTCCTGTATATGTGGTTATTTGAATTTAATTCAAATTAGATATAATTCCAGTTTAGTTCTGAAAGTTTTCAAATTCAGGTTTCCCAAGGATAATACACTAAGTCCACTCTGACTGAGTGTGGCTTGCTAGACTAAGCAGACAGCTCAGGTGTGCTATTGCCTGGCTGGTGAGAACCTGCTGCAGGGCCATCAGCTGGAGCTTGGAGGTCCGGTGGCCCGAGTGGGCTCCACTTGGCCCTGGTGCCTGCTTGGGGCCAAGATGTGACATTTGGGAGCCTCTGAGTCCTTATCAACCAAACCTATCTCAAAACCCTGGTGTGAGGAGCCTGAGAGTGGTTGTATCACGTTATATAAATGCAAATAAATTCCAAAATACACAAAAGTCCAAAATCCAAAACGTTTCTAGTTCCAAGAGTTTCACATAAGAGGGACTCAGCTTATCAAATGTAGGGGCACATGCCTGGAAACAGGAGGATTACCAGGAGTTCAGGGATTACATGGTAAATTCAAAGCCAGCCTGAACTATGCGATGAAACCTGTCTCAAAAACACCAAAAGCAAGAGCTATTTGTATTGTTATTATTAGTAGTAGTTTTAATATTAATGAAATTAACTCCAATATTCAATATTTAATATCCTTAATATTAATTGGTACTGCATTGTTACTTATTTATTACTTAAATTATTTACTTAATATTAACATTAAAATACAGAACAAAAACTTCTAGCCTTTTCGCATTTGATGAGATGTTTACTGTCTCTCCAGTCTCAATATTACGTTTCTAAGGAGTTTCCCTCCAAAAGGAAACCAGACGTAACTTTAAATATAAGCTTCATATAATCTTAAAGCCGTCGCTGTGGTTGGAGCACCCAAGTGAATGAGAAGCTCAGCGTCTTTGGCCAAAATAATGACGTTAGTTTGGTCACCTTGAATGCCTACATGCAGGTGTCCTGTTACAGTATTTCCAGAATTAAGACAGCAATTTCGACTTGGCCTGCCTGAGCCCAGCTCTGAGTGAGCATCTCTGGCCCTGTCCGGACTCACAGGGGATCTTCTTGCCATTTATTCTGACTGCAACTCTGAAGTCAGGGTCACAGCCCTCAGAGGCACAGGAGAAGCCTCAGTTCTAACCAGGCTCCGGGGCACGCTGAGAGCCCTGCTCGGCTGAGCTGGCTGCCGGTCCCACTTCTGCTGCAAGTTGCTTTGCCAAGGAGCCACGCCTTGGTGCAAGGAGAGTCAGTGACCAGAGGTACAGTAAGCCAGTAAAGCAACCCCTCGACCCAATTCTGCTCTGCTGTGTAAAGCAAGCGGAAACTTCTGTCAGCCAAATCCCTGCCCAGAGGGGCTGAGGCGGCTGGAGAGAGACCTCATCCCCAGCACCCTCCCATGCGATCCCCCAGAGACACTCCTGGCCCTGCCACACAGCTGTCACTCTCCCAGTCACCGCCTGCCTGGAAGAGCAATGAAATAGCTCCATGGAGATGGACAGGAGGGCAGTGACCAAGCCTATGAGAATGAGCTCTTGGAGAAATACCTGCTAAAGAACTGAGTTCGGATTTTCCAATTTGAGACACATTCTTGATGCCGAGGACAGGTGGAGTTTTTATCTTACTGATTTGTTTTTGTCTTTTTGAGACAGGGTCTTGCTAAGGGGTTCAGGCTGGCCTTGGGCTCACTTTGTAGCCTGGGCTGGTCTCAAACTCACAGTGATCCTCCTGCCTCAGCCTCCCGAGTGCTGGGATGACAGGACATTGTCCTTGTTTTCCCCACAGGGAAGGCATTTGTGAAAGATCCCACAGCAGCAAAGTGGAAAGTGGGCGCCAAGTTCTGAACCCAGAGCTGTGCACTCTGGAACCCTTACCCAGCCTCCTGTCACTGAGTCCATCGTTGAGTCTGGATCTAAGAGGACTTGAATAGAATTTTAAAAGAAAAGCACAAAAAAGTAAAAATGATTACTATGACTCCTTTTGATAAATCTTAAAAGCTCTGATCATTGTCACATGATCCCATGGTTCAAGAAATGTAATTTCCAAATGGGCCCCAAAGAACCAGAAATGTCAAGGGGAACAGAAGCACTGGGCTGGCTTCTTTTGATTCTGTCCCCTTCGTTTACAGGGGACAAACACATTTATATGGGTCAAACACAGCCCCCTGTGTGCTGCACGCAGCCTGGCTTAGGGGTCTGAACAGCTGCAGAGGAGAGGCGGGTTCAGTTATTCCGCCCACTTGACAGACAAGCTCAGTGCAGCTGGGCAGAGAAGCAGCTGGCCGCGCGGGGCTCTGGCTCTGCTGGGATCGTCTGGTGTGTCATCAGTTTTCCTCATTTCAGACTCCCTTGCTCCATTCTGCCCAGGCTCTCGATGGGGTGCAGGGAAAGAGAACCCCCTCCACCTGGACCCTGTTCCCTAGCCCCGCTTTCTCAGATACAGGGTCTTATTTAGGGAGCTCAGGCTGGCTTTGGACTGGCAATCCTCCTGTCTCAGCCTTTCAAGCACTGGGATTAAAGCACGGGCCACCATGCTCAGCCTAGAAACTTCTTCATGCAGAGATGATGAAGACCATGTTTTTGACTGCATCTGTGTTGATACCTGTCATGACTTCCACAAAGCCATGAGGCTTCTACGATGTTGCTAAGAGAACGAGACACACCTGTCCAGTCTTTAGCTGGTGGCAGGGGCACGGTCTGAGGGCGCTGGCCCTTGGCCTGGGTGCCCCCTGCGGTGCCTCTTAGCCCCTGGAGCCAGCCTTTTGCCTTGAAATGAACTATTGCTTCTAAATTGTCCTTGTTTTTTATTTAACAGGCGCTTGAATAAAATTGTTTGGCAAGCATTATCTCAAGAGGAAAAAGAAAAGTAAGTCATTCTATTTCTTCCCCCAATTTTTTATTCCAATGAAATTCATGTAAGCAAAATTAACTATTTTGAAGTGTCCAGTGAAGAGGTGTTCACTGTATTCAAATGTGAGCAGCCTCCCCTGCCCTTCCAGGTTCAAAACGTTTTCGTTGCCCGATAAAAACTACCTTGCACCCATAAAGCAACTGTTCCTAATCTCCTCTGCCCTGGCCCCTGGCGGGCACTGGTCTGATTTCTACAAATTTGCCCTTTTGGAATTTGCCTGCTACATGAGAGAAATCATGAAACATGTGACACCTTTCATGTCTGCCTTTTTTATTTACTGTGAAAACAATGTTTTCAAAGTTCACCCAACTTGTAGTAATATCAATAATATATATATATGTGGACTTTCCAGGAAGTCATGAATACACATACACACACACACACACACACACACACACACACACACACATGCACGCACACACATTCACACATGCACAATATGTCACTTATTAAAAATCTATTCTTTATTTGATGATCATTTGGGTTGTCTGCTTTTTGGCTGTTTTGAATTCTGCTGCTGTACTTGTGCAGATGTTCTGCGTGAACCTTTTGTCTTCCTGTCTCCTGAGTGTGTAACTGGTCAGTCACTAATTCTATGCTCAACTTCTGGGAGAGGCAGACCTAAACTATTGCCCCGGGGAATTCAGTACTTTTTTGTGCCACCAGCAGTGTACCAGGGGCTCAGCTACTCTGTGGAACAGTTTGGAGGCTCCTTTACACAATCTGTAGAAAATGACATTTGCTTTAAATCACGTCCGTGGAAGAATTACTTCCTCATATTAACATGTAATTTCATTATACATTTTTGTTAGGGTGACTGAATAATACTTACTTTTCTAAGGCTGCTGGTGTGGTTTCCAGAACATTTATTGGTTAATATTTAACAATGTAGAATTTTAAGATGAATGTTTTATGTTAAGTGTCCCTATGTCATGGTCAAAAAGATAAGACTCATCTTCGTGAAGTGATATCCCAGTGTGGTCCTGATATAAATTTTCTAATGACCAGTGATGATGAATACCTTGAATACTTTTGTTGATTTCTCTCTCATTGGAAATATCCATTGAAGTCCACTGTGCATTTTTAAACTGAGCTGTGTTTCTGTAGTTGAGTTGCCTCTTGGATAGTAAGCACTTGTCCAATACATGAGTGGCCCACATTTCCTCCTATTCCGTAGATTCTGTTTTCACATTCATGATAATGTCCTTTGATGTCCAAAGGTTATTAACTTTGGGAAAGTCAGTTCATCATTTTTCCTTTTGTTATTCATGTTGTTGGTGTCAGATCTAGGAATTCATTGCCAAGTATAAAACCATGAAATTGTACCATTATATTTTCTTCTGTTTGTAGTTTCAGCTCCTACATTTAGTCTGTTGGCTAATTTTTAGTGAACTTTTCTGCATGGAATGAGGCCTTCTAGGATACTTTGATGGTTGCTGTGGACTAGCATAATGGTATGTCCTGACAAAAGTTAAATATGTTAAAAACTATATTCTGTTGTTGTTGAGAGAGATGTTCAGGATATGTCTATTGTCTGATTTACTCTACAAAAGTGTGATCTTTTGTAAGAGTGCTGTATTTATGACTGAAGGCGGAGTGTCCCAGCTAGTTTTGTAAAAGTATCTGTTTCTTCCTATAGTCCTGCCAAAATTCACTTTATTTGGGGGTTGCCTTAGTTACTTTTCTCATTGCTGAAACAAAATACCCAGCACCCAAAGTTAGAGGAGGATTATTTTGGATCACAGTTTGTAGAGGTTTAATTCCATAGCGAAGGCAGGATGGCATGGCAGAGGGCCAGTGACAGGGAGAAGCAGTCCCTGGCAGGGCAGGCAGGAGGCGGCAGCAGCAGCAGCAGCAGCAAGCCTGCTTCTCCCTTTTATTCCATCTAAACTACAAAGCTTTTGGGTGTTGCCACCCACACCCAGGGTGGGCTCCCCATCATCCACACACGGATTTATGGTAAACCAATCAGTGGACTTAGTGTCACACACCCTTAATCCAAGTTCACCCACCTGAGATTCAGTCATCTCTGAAAAGCCCTACCCATGAGCACATGGGGTTTTGGGAGTCATCTAAACACAAGCCATTGCAGGGGTTGTAACAGTAGATGTATATATCTTCATAATTTCTAGATCTGATAGCTTTTCAATAGGTGTTACCTTTTGCTTCTTATAACAACTTAGACTTCAAATTTACTTTTCCCCAATAATAGTGTAGCCCCTCCAGCTGTCTTTTGATTACCATTGCATAGGATATCTTTTTCCATCTTTTCTCTTTTCTTCTTCTCTCTTTTCCTTTGGAGACAGGCTCTTGCTGTGTAGTTCATGCTGGCCTTCAGCTTGCAGTGATGCTTCTGCCTCAGCCTCCCCAGGGTTGGGGTTACAGGTGTGCACCACCACACCCAAGCCTCCACCCTTTCGTTTTCAACCTGTTTAATTCTAAAGAGTCTCTTTTAATCAGCATACTGTTGGTTCTTTTTTTCATTCTGTCAATTTTTGTGTATTAATTGGTGAGTTAATCTTATTTAAAATGATTGATACCAATGGAAGATTCATGTCTGCCTCTGTGCTCTTTGTTTTGTATGTGTCAAATATTGTTGTTCTTCACTTTCTCTTCTTGCTTGGTATTTTTTCTTACATCCCATTTTGATCACTGTTCATTTCCTGTTTACTCTCTGTCCATTTTTTTAATGGTTACATAGGGATTGCAGATAACAACATAAATGTATGGTAATCTAGTGGACATTGATATTGAATTAGTTTCAACAGCAGAGATTAACTCCATTCCCATTCAACTACAACCCTCCATTCACCTACTTAGGGTAATGGGTTACATCTTTTATATTGTAGGCCCATTAACACAGACTTGCGTTATATTTTGTGCACTTGCCTTTTATATAATAAAACAAAAAAGCAGTTATATACCAAGATACAAGAATAATAGCTTTTATATTTTTCTATTTGTTATCTTTGCCACTCATATGTATTTCTTCTTATGGTTTAGGATTATCCTCTAATGTCGTTTTATTTCAGCATGAAAAGTTCTTGGCATTCTTGTGAACTAGTCTATTGGTAGTAAATCCCTTTAATTTTATTTCTCTTGGAATGTGTTATTTCCTCAATCACTCTTGAGGCATCATTTTATAACATGGAATTCTTGGTTGACTACTTTCTTTCAGTACACTAAATCTGTCTCCCCATTTCCTTCTGGCTTCCATAGCCGATGATGAGAAATCAAATGTTACTCTTCCTGAGGATTCCTTGCTCATGCCAGGTGCCTTTTGCTTGGTTCTTTTAAGTCTCTCTTTTTCTTTTCTTTCAAAAGTTTGATTATAATATGTGTTGATGTAGCTTTCTGACTTTATCCTGCTTAATGTTTGCTGAACTTCTTGGATGTATGAATTTACATCTTTCATCAAACTTGTCATTATTTCTTCAAGTATCTTACCTCCTTCTTTCTCTTACCACATTTTAAGATTCCTAAAATGTTTTTGCTGGTAAGTTAAGTTCATGGTATCCCAGAGTTCTTCATTTCCTTATTTTTTCTGCTTCTTAGTAATCACGGTTGACCTGTCTGTAAGTAGGGTCACTGATTCATTCTTCTGCCTGCTTTAACCTGCTATTGAATGAGATTTTCATTTCAGCTTCAGAATTTCTATTTGCTTCCATTCATGATTCTACTCTCTAGTTGTTCATACATCTTTTTTTCTGTTTCCTTTAATTTTCTGCTTATGGTTTCCTTCTCCTTTTGGAGCATATTTAAGACAGTTAATTTAAAATCTTTGTCTAGTAAATCCATCATAAATTTTCTTCCACAAATTTTTTACTGTATGGGGAAGAACATTTCTTGTTTCTTTGTTTGCAAATTTGGAATTTTTTTGTACTGAGGATCGAACTCACGATCGTGCGCCTGCAAGGCAGGCGCTTATGCCACTGAGCTAAATCCCCAGCCTCCAAACTTGGAATTTTGAGGGTTTAATTGAATACTTTTGCTGTTAAGGTGTGGAATCTCTAAAAATGAGAATCTTCTCTCTCTACATCAGTTACAGTGAAGGCTACAGTTGTCTTTTTGATGCTTTTCGAAACTATGTTTACAGAAATGGAATTTCATGTATGTGCTCAAAGAAGGCTTTGTTCCCTTATCTGTGGTCAGCCAGTGGCTTGACAGAGGTCTCCTTAAGTATCAGTGTCTTTCTACCATAAGCATGCCTCTCAATGCTTCGAGTTTTCACTAGATTCAAGAATTTCAAAAGAGATCATCACTTGATTGGTAAAAGTGCCGGTTATAATTCATGTAGATGGCTGTTTTTAATCTGATGAGCTAGCAAATTCCTGGTGGACCAGAGGACATAGCTGTGACTGTCATTTGACATCTAATGCTCAACATTCAACAAACATTTCTCGGGGGAAGAGTTTGCTGAGAAACTGGCTCACTGTAGCTTTTTCTATTACGGTTATTTGCTTTTTTTTTCCTAGGTTAGATGCAGTCAAACCAATCCAGTACCTGGAAAACAAGTCAGCTCTAAACAAGGCACTAGAGCGGTCAAATTGGCCCATTTCACTGGAAGAACTGTCACTGCTGGAAAATGAGATTCTAGCTGGGAAGATGTACATCCATCAGGCCATGGAGCTCCAGGAGGCTTCCAAGAGGAACTGCATGAGCCAGGCGCCAGCAGAGGTGGGTGGTTCCTCCTCCCTGCCTGTCCTGAGTCATTGCCATCTCTACACTGCTCTGCTCTCTCTCTCATCCTCCACCACACTGATCTCTGATGGTTACGGTGGGTCTCAGGACTTTTTAAAATCAACACAGAAAAGACGCTTGATTTTAATATGTTCTTAATTTTAAACAATACATCTTTTAATTGAAAAATGAAAGTAAATAGAAGTATAATGTAAAAATTAAAAGCCTAGATCATGACCAGAGCCTAGGGCTAACCTCAAAGCTATACCTTATTTCTAGGTGCTCTTGGCTGGCTGTTTACCCTCTTAAGTGCCTTTTCTTATGTGTGAAACAGAGGTACAAATAGTTACTGCCTCTTAGGGTGGGTTTGACTATAAAATAACTATTTTGAGTTCTTGTTTTTGAAAGCCCCATATCAATGTCAGCAATTATTATAAATATTACCACTAATAATGATAAAGCAAATCTTCTAAAAAACAAAAATAATTTATTATCTGAATGCCTTATTACTTTAGGGTATTACCTTATAGCTTTTTTCTTCCTCAATAAGTGTTTACACAGATGCAGTAGGAAAGTCTATGCTTATTTTACATTTTGCTTTTTAATTTCTCATCATTTCGCAGAATTTCCCTGTTTTGCTGATATTTTGGGTAGTTACATAACAGTCCACGCTGTGTAGAAACCCTGGCATATTTAGCTCTTCACTGACTGTTGGGCTTGGGGGTTATTTTCCAGTTTCTGCTCTTATTCATGTTTCCATGACTCCTTTCATGTACTTAGTTGAATTTTTTTGTTAAGATGCAGTCGCAGGAATGGGATGGCTGGACCAAATGACATGAACATTTGAAGGAACATTTGAAGGCTCAAATAGATATTTTCAGTGTGACACTCTTGTTCCTGACTGCCTGGGTGCGTGTGGACCCAGGATAGTTTGCCAGAATCTTTCTGGATTGTAGCCCGCTTTCAGATGCCCATCATATGAACTGATCCTTGGGCATCATTCTGTTAATATCTATCTTTGGAAACCAGTATAGGTTTTACCTGATTCTGGCTTCTGTATTTGCTGCTCTAGATTCTTGCTTTGCTTCATTTTTCCCCTGCAGATAACATTTTCTTCTCTTTAGTATAAAAAGCCATTATCTTTTGTGCAGTTTGCAAAATTCATGTCACATGTCTGCTAATATTATTCAAGCCAAATTAGTTCCCCAAAGAATTATTCAGTGTTCCTGAGGGAATCAGATACCTCCAAAGATTTCTCTGTCCACTGGTCTTGCTTACCTTGGTACCCTGCAGACACCTAAGAGTATAGAGGACTAAACTGAACTCCTAACCCTCCCCAAAAATACAGCATTCCTCTCTCCATGCCTCTCACGGTCTGCTCACTCTTGCATAGTTCACTGAAACATCTGTGAGCACCCTCAAGGTGCTGAGTGCTAAATTAGGCAAGGGGAGAACCTAGAACCTGTGCACCCCATCCTGCCCTTATTCTCATGAGGCGGAGCATTTCTCCCACCATGACGGGCTTTCCCATGCTGAGCTGTGGCAATCAGTGGGATTTGCTAGCACTGTTCTTTTGTCTATGCTTTATATTAAATTTGCAAATGGGAAGTATCAGAAATGGAGTGAAAAGAAGCCTCTTGCGAATCAGGACAAAGAGAGTATGTTCTATGGAATTTGCCTGGACTTCTGGCAACCAAGAGATCTTCTTCCCAGGATATGAATTAATTGTTCTATTCCTTTATTCTCTTCCCACAAAATGGGACTAAAAATTATTTCTATAATTTCTTCATTTAAAAATGTCCATTCATCCCTTACCATGGATAAGACTCTGTTTGGCACAGCCTCGCCCTGGCAGGGAGTAGACCCCAGGTCATTTTCTCCTTAGAGTCTCTCAAGGTGACACTATGTAATCAATACAGTGTTCTGTGGCTGTTGTCAGCCCAGTAGAGGGACATTAGAATAGAGCAGAACAGAGCACATCATCCCTCACAGCTGAGACCTTGTTGGCCAAATTTGGGTGTGTAGGAATTGAGGGGCTTGCTAGGGTGTGAGAAACATTCTGAATGAAAGAGACACCACTTACAGAGGCTGACAGATGGAAAGGAAGGTGGGACATTCACCCAGGGGTGGCCAGGGACACACTGGGAAGGGCCAGTGGCATCAGGGATCAGGCCTGTCGGAAATGGATGGTGGGGAAGGATTTCCAGGAGGTGAAAGGCTGACAGATGTGTTTGTATCTTAGAAAGATTATCTTAGCAGTGAGGTGAGGCCCTGCATGGAAAGAGATCAAAATCACAAGCAACCCTCTGTCGGGGGTTGAGCCCTTGAGCCAAGATAGATCAATGGGGAGGGCAGAGGTCAAAGAGACTTGAGTTGCTGGAAGGTCAGGTTCAAAGGCTGAGCCAAGGATAAAGCTGGAGGCCCACAGAATCGGTAATAACCACTGACCTACACCCGGGCCTCGGGGAGGCAGGTGTTCCCTGGCCAGCCTGTCCCATCACCCTGTCACTGTGCTACCTTTATGTCAGTTAGGTCTCCCTCACAGCTCACTTCACTCCCTGACATGATAGACTCAGGTGTTTACGGGCCATCTTCTCTGCCAGATTGAGTGTTGTGTGTTGGGGTGTAGGTACTCCCACAGCCGGAAACACTGATGGGTGTTTCCATAAATATGTGAAAGAGCAGAGAGGACAAGGCACGATGAGAGGAAGGGCAGATTAGGAAAAGGTAATTTGCTTTCCGGCCTCTAGGTTCTTAACGTGTCCCAGCATCCAGGTGAGAAAGCCAACAGTCACATATTGGGAGTTCAGGAGAGAGGGCTGAGTGACTGATCGATTTGGAGTCACTTACAGTTGGTGCTGAGAGAGAAAAGAGAATGAAATGGACCAAGATGGAGAAGTTAGAGAAGCAGGTGCCTCCAGGGAGAAAGCGACGGGGTGAGAGCCAAGGAGAGGTGGTTAAGGGCGCTGGCTCTGAAGTCAGGCAGATCCGATGCCAGTCTCAGCTCCACCACTTCTGAGTTGTGCAGCCTTCCTCGTGCCCTCCTGTCCTCAGTGTCTTCTCGTGTCTAAGATAGAAAAGCCAGAGATGGTCGTGAGACAGAGGACATCATGTGCTTAGGACAGCGGGGAGCACTGAGAGCCGACAATGAACGCATCCAGCATACATGATCCACCATTCAAGTTATTCTGGAGGGTTCTGGAGACTGAAAACTGATTTGATTGGCCAGGAGGGAGCTCATGGGCAACGTTAGCCGGAAGAATGTCAGTGAGATTGTGGGAGCAGCAACAAGCCTCTAACGAATCAGAGTGGAGAAAATTAGGCTTTCGCTTCCGAATTTCCGTGGGAAAGACCAGCAGGAGGACTGTGAGGATGTGAGGCCAGTGTGGGAGAAGGCAAGGGTCTCCTGGGTCTACTGCCACCTCCTTCTCAGTCAGAGGCCACGGCTGTACTTTCACTGTCCGCACAGGGTGTCCAAAGCCCTCCTGAGATCATGGCCTGGGCCCGGGCCAATTGTCCATGCGAAATGAATGGGGAAGGCTTGGCTTTAGAGTTTCTTCCACCCTTGACATGTCCTTCTGCAGTGGAAGATGTTTTATGTTTTCTTTCCTTCTTTTGATGAGAAATGTGTGATATATTCTGTGATTTTTTTATTCCATTTTTCCGTACCTCACACATCTGACTTCTGGTCAACCTCAAAGTGAAAAGCTGTAGTGGAAGCAAAGCTCGGGACGGCAAGGCCAGGCTAAGGCCTTTTAAGATCCTGGGGTGGAGAGCTCGCGGGCGATGCTATTCATTTTTACTCATTTATATTTAAATATAACCTCATTTTAAATTCTTTTAGCAAAAGCCAAAGATTTTGATCAATGATAGTAAATTAGAAAGGAAGAGGCTTTCTGTTAATCACCAAGACCCCTGCTAGTTATTAACATGTGTAGCAGAAGTTGATCAAAGTTCCTTTGGGCAGGCATCGAATCAGCAATGCCCACGGCTGTCAGAAGCCTGCGGCCTCTGTATTCAGCCCATTCCAGGACACATTCTGGGGTCTGGATGTCTGAGGCTTCCGGACCCCTGGAGTGATGCTGGCACCCAACATGCCTGCTGCACTGGCTCCTGAGTTTAGGACAGTCGTGACTCTTCTGGCCATGAAGTCCCGAGGTGGGAAGGAGGTGCGTGGCTCCGGATGCCAGGTGTAGCAAGCTTGGCTTACCAGCCACGCAATGAAAGGAGAACCATATAAGTCTAAAGTTTTAAGTTTCCACTAGAAGCTCCTCGTCTTGTTCTCACGATGGCAGATTTCACCTCACGGGCCAGTCCTGAGCCCTCAAAGCTGAGTTGTCCTTAGCCTTCCTTCCACAGTCTCCCTGCAAACCTGACCTGCAGCTGCCCAGGTATGAACACTGTCTTAGCAAACACGGGTTGTGCTCCAAGCAAAGTCTATAGAATCCAGGCCTAGAAAGATCCCACATTCTTCTCATTGATCACTCTGGGAAAAACAAAGGCAGAAAATCACTTGCAATTTGGAAGTGGTTGAGACACTCAAAGAGCCAAGGCTGTAGCTCAGCAGCACAGCACTTGCATGGCAAGTGTGGGGCCCTGAGTTTGACTCCCAGTACAAAAAAAAAAAAGAAAGAAAGAAAGAAAGAAAAAGAAGAACAACAGAGAAACTCTAAAGAATGCATTGGAAGCCAGGAATGGTGGCACATGCTATAATCCCAGCACTTGGGAGACTGAGGCAAGAGGATAGCTTTGAGTCCAAAGTCAGCCCTGGCTACAAAAGGAGTTCAAGGCCAGTTTGTAGTATGTAGTCATAGTGAGACTCTGTCTTAAAAAGGTTTTTTAAAAAATGCATTGGAAATGGACCAACCTAGGTGGATGAGTTTGTGAACTTCTCAACGCCATAACCAGCAAGGAACTTGGAGTCTGTGACCTTAGGAATGACAGATGGGACACTCTGCTCCATGAAAGATTGTCCTAGAGAAAAAGAGAGTTAGGAA